GTGGAGTGTTTAAGAGATTTAATCAAAATCTGAATTTAATTTCAGATTTGATTAAGTTTGGAGGGAATAGATTTGAATTTTAAATTTCAAATTAAGGGGAATTAAGGCTTTGAATGGGGGATTAATGAGGGGAGCCAAGTTGGGGGGCCGACAACTTGTAGAGAAAGGGGGAGGTGGTTTTAAAACTAATCCTGAAATTTAATTTCGGGATTTGTAAAATTTGGGGGGGAAAGTTATTTGAAATCAGATTTTAATTTCAAATAAGATGGGGAATTAGTATGGCATTCAATGGGGAGAAGCCCACAGGTGGCCGACGGGTCCAAGAGGGAGAGAGGAGGTGTGGGAGCAACTTATGAGCCTTCCAAATCAGCACATAAGCATTAGGAAAATTGATTATTAAATCCACTCTAATTTGAATTTCAAATTGATTTGGATTTGAATACTTTCCTAATTTGGCTTTTGACAAATTTGAAAATTTTGAAATTCAATCAATTTGAATTTCAAAATTTGAAACATGTGAGGGAAAGGGGAAGGGGCCGGCGGTTGAAGATTGGGGAAGGGGTTGTGGAGGAGGGGTGGCCGGCGGCTAAGGGAAGGGCCGGCGGGTTGAATCCCCTAGATTGTCGGCGGAATGAAGTCGGGGCTCGGATTGAGAAGAAAACGAGATGGGGATTTGGGATTAGGTGAGGATGAGGGAAAACACAAATAAGATAGAAACGAACTTAACCACGAGCCGCGGACTCTTCCAACGACTGGTGGGCCTTTTAATTGCTCTCTTTGAGCTCTCTCCCTTCTCTAGCTCTTATGCAAGAAGAGGAAACAAGACAAAATTTTCATTCAAATATTCATTAACCAATACATAAGAGAATGGTCATATATATAGGTCTCACAATGACAAATAAACAAAAGACAACAATGCCCCTCGGGCTACAATAGCGACTAATTACCCATAATGGCAAAAACGAAAAATTGAAGAAATAATAATGACTAATACATAAAATGCGTCAAAAGTAGAGACTCTCCATCGTGGCCATCGATCTCCTGTGTCGCATCTGATAGACGCGTCGAAATTTCGTATCGATGTCCCCATCAATCAGCATACAATTTATAATCATTATTGCTTTTTTCAATTTGTTGTGCAATCTCTTTATGAAATTCATGCATATGTGATATAAATGAGGATGCAGGCTCAAAAATCATATACCTAGAGCACGGGTATGAGATCTAGCGGCTGTCTAGGTTTGAACCAATAAACAATTTCAGAATGACTTAGGCCAAGTGGTTCGGTTCACATAATTATTATAGGCAAACTCAACTGTGGGGAGTATGAAGTCTCAATCCTTAATATGTTCGCCTACCAGGGATTGTAACAGATTGCCTAAACTCCTATTGACTACCTTGGTTTAACCATCAATTTGTGGATGAAAGACTGCGGAGAATTGAAATTTAGTGCCCATTTTCATCCAAAAGGTCTTTCAAAAATAGTTGGTAAATTTGACATCCTTGTCTGATACAATGGTTTTGGGTAAACCATGTAAGCGTACAACCTCGTTGAAATAAAGTTTGGCAATGTGGAGGCGTCGGATGTTTTGGAGCAAGATAGAAAATGGGTCATTTTGAAAAATCGATCGACTATAACACAGATGGCGTCATTCCTACGGGTAGTCTTTGGCAGGCCTAAGATAAAATCCTTGCTAAAGTCCTGCCTAGAACAATTGGGGACAGGCAGAGGGGTGTACAAACCAGTGTTTTGTTTGTGTTTCTTGGCCAGCTGTCAGGTGTTACACCTGCTGACCATCCTACCAACATCCCTCTTCAGATTGGGCCAAAAGAAACGATACTCCATGGCTTCTATCATTTTATCACGACCGAAGTGCCCAGCGAGGCCTCTGTCGTGGAGTTCCCACACAAGAAATTCCTTAAGGGAGGTGCTTGGGATGCAAAGCTTCTGAGCTTTGAAAAGATAACCATCCTATAGAAGAAAATCGTCAACAAGGCGTGTGTTGCCTATGGATAAGATAGAGTAAGTCTCCTTGAAGTTAGGGTATTCCAAATAGTCTCTTTTGATTTGGTCAAAACCCACGACTTAGGCTCTCATCTTAGTGGTAGTCATCATACAACGACTGAGAGCATCAGCAGCTTTATTCTTAACTCCCACCTTATGTCTAAGGGTATAAGTTTATTCTTGAAGGAATTACAACTTAATCCTTTAGACACAACCATAACCATGACTCTGACATACCATTGATGAAGAACATTAACGTCGATGCTCCTACTTTGAAGGAACCCTCAATCCCTAGCTCTTCTTGGACTGGGTCAAAGGTATTGATTACTTCTTAAAGTGGTATAATATCTCTGAGGCTAGGAATGTTAGTTTTGCCGAAATGAAACTCATGGTTAGGGCGAGTCAGTTTTGGTCAAATTTAGAAAGCCTTAGAGAAGCCCGAAATGAGTATCCCATCACTGATTTGCCATCCATGAAGCGTGAACTTAAGCAGAAAATTTTATTTTAGGACTGCCTGTTATTGCACGAAAATTTGATTGTGTTTGTCTTTGTTGACCGATTTAGTAAAATGGCACATTTCATTCAATGTAAAAAAACTTCTGATGCTTCACATGTTAATATGTTTTTTAAAGAAATTGTGCAACTTCATGGCATACCCCAAACATTTACATCTGATAGGGACACTAGATTTTTAAGTCATTTTTTTAGAACAATTTGGGAAGTTGGGAATTACTCTTCAATTTAGTAGTTCTTATCACCCTCAAACGATGGACAAACTAAAGTTGTCAACCAAAATTTAGGACATTTACTTTGATGTCTTGCTGGTGAAAAACTTTCTCAATGGAATTTGATTATACCCCAAGCTGAGTTTTCCTATAATAATTCTGTTAATCTATCCACTGGAAAGACCCCTTTTGAAATTATTTATGGTCAGTTCATTCCTCACATTTTGGACAGAACTTGTTTACTCTTGCCTAACAAAATTAGTGTTGAAGCCACATATACTATTGATCACATTAAATCAATCCAACAACAAGTTCTTGAAAAACTCCAAATGGCAAATGTTAAATACAAATCTACTGTTGACAAATACCGGAGAGAGTATTATTTTAAGGAGGGTGACTTAGTCATGGCTTATTTTCATCGATAGTGTTTTCTTGTTGGAACTTTTAGCAAGCTAAGCTTGAAGAAATTTGGACCTTTTCGTATACTTCAAAAATTGGGATCGAATGCCTATCTTCTGGTTCTTTCACTTTATGTTGGAACTTCTCTTGTATTTAATGTTGCAGACCTTACGTTGTATGAAGGAAATCCAGCTGATTCTGTGGATGTAGGAACTTTACTAGTTACCAGCTCCGTTCAGGGCAAGGATGACCAGATTGAAGATGTTTTGGATATTAGGACTACCCAGACAAGGCATGGAGAGCACAAATGATTCCTGATTAAATGGAACAGCCGTCCGTTGACTGATTGTACTTGGATGGATGCAGTGGAGCTACAAAATCGTCGTCTTGATCTCTATCAAAGAATTGTTGAAACATTCTCATCAGGAGATGAGATTCTTCCACCAGGGGGGAATTGATGCATGCAAACTTCATTTCAATTTTATTTTGAACTTTATTGCAATTTGAATTTTATGTTTTTTTGCTTTTTCTACCCCATGATGGAAGGCAACCAATGATCATGTGTAGGTTGTGTTCTTGGACATGCTATTCCTTTGGTGTGCTAGTTTCTTTGGTACCATGACATTTGGGCTGACTTGGGTTTGACCCAAGTTCTGTGGGTGTATGTTGGCTGTTGGGATTATGTTGCCTTTATTTGGTTCTTTTCTGCAGGTTCATTTCCCCTTTTTTTTTGCCTCTTCGGTTCCTCTGCCTGTCACGATTCACCCCCTTGGCGCCTGTTCCGTTCGCTGGCTGCAAAATTGCAGTTATGCTAAAAAGCAAAGCAGCAATGAAAGCTTTTATAAACAAACCCTAAGAGAGAGAACTTAAGCTAGTTGTTTGCGCGAGAGAATATTTAAATAAAAAGAAGATGATGAAAAAATGAGAGATGGTAAAGTGGTTTTATAATTTTTTTAAGCAGCGGATTTGTTGGCCCTTATCGAGTGTCTTTTAGGGCTAGAGGGTTGATAACGTCCCTACCTTATATATTGAAAAGGGAGAGTACACGTGTGTGAACTCATAAATTTTATGCTTGTGTGTCAATCTTTTTCTCACGTCGTTGCTCAAGCAATACGGGAGGACTTTATTGGATAATGCCAACCTTCCAGAGTCATTGGCATTGAATGATTTGCAAAATGGGACGCTTGAGTGCTTTTTTTTTTTTTTTCATTTGATGAGAAATTTTGAACTGATTTTCTATGAAATCGCATACGTCTTCTACTGTCTCAGTTGTATGTGATCATGTTGGCTTGTGGAACACATATGAAGGCCAATAATTGTTAACTTTTTCAGGATATTCTATTTACTTCTTTGGATAGACGTTTTTTCTTCGCATGAGACAGGCTGCATTTGCATTTATGTTTTCATTTTTATTAAGACTCATGGATAAGTTGGCGTTTTTGGTCCTTTATCGCCATGTCCAGCACATCGGTTGTATATGTGAAATTTGCAACTTGTCTAGCTTGTACGAAGTAATTCCCTGTTCAATCTAACCGGTCATTTATTTGTTTAAATTGTTTTTGCTCTCTTTTTTTTCATTTCTTTTTTTCTTTTATTTTTCTTTTTTTAATTTTTTTTATATTGTTTTTGCTGTCTCCTTCTTGCTCATTTACCAAATTGGTAGGTTTTTTTTTTTTCTTTTTTAGAGATCTTATTTCCTTTTAAATAATGATTTAACAGTTGTAATTTATTAAAGTACTTATAGTTTCCTGAATACAATTTTTTTTTCTCCATGTTTTTTTTACAATACTTGACATGAAAACCTTAAGAACTTATTTTAAATGTAAAAGTTTAGCCTTATTGTCTGCCTGCTACAATTTATTTATTCACAGGCACTGACTCACATAGAGGGAGCTCGCAATCCCTTACCTGCCTCGCTATACAAATTTTATGTTCTTATTGAGACAACTGGGGCTGATGAATCTTACAATCGGTACGCTAATTTATTTACCAGTTTCCAGGTTTCTCTTCCACCTCTCTTGTATGCCATTTATTTGTTTCTGGCAATTTTATTTTGGTGTCTTGTAATCATTATCCATGGATTACAAATTGTTAGGTGTTACCATATTTAAATTATCACCCAACTTACTTTTTGGGGCAGTTGAATTACTCGAGTCATCTATCTTTTCTATGATATATGCATCATTCTAGTGCTTATTGTCTGCCTAGTCTTTTTTAGGCCTCGTTTGAGGCGGCTTATTTTCTCCTTTTTCTGTTTCGAAACGGTTTTTGTCGCTATTTGAATATGCTGTTTATGTGAAAATGCTTTTTGCAGAACTTCGTTTTATTACTGTTTTGATAAGTTTTTTTATATATGCTTCTCCGTTTGAGAACTCCATTTCCTCTACCAACGTTTTTAAAACTACCTTCTACAAAAGTTAAAGGATAACCAAACGAAACCTTAACCTTTTTCTATTTGCACAATTTTGAAGTTGATAAGGTGCTGGTTGTGGGAATATACTAAAATATCTGCCCATGTAAAATTGCAAAATTTCTTTTCCGTACAGGAAGATCTATGTTTAATTTGCATGAAGTATTGTTGGAGAGGATTCCGTGTTTGAAAGACATACTAATAAAAAGCTCTTGATTCGGAATGTATTTTTTAATTTTTTTTTTACTTTGTTATCAATCAAATTCGACAACTAGTTATTTTTGGAGCTTTTCTGGCTCATAAATTTTTAATCAGATTATCTCATGTTTCTTTCCTCTCGTGATTCCTACAAGGCATTTATCAAGCTTATTCTAACAATTTTTGGATTATTTAAATATTTTTAGAGTATTTTTAAGATCTTTATTTAGTGATAAGTTGTTTAATTCTAACTATTATCTTTACTTTAAATTGAATGATAGGAACCGTTGGAGTTATCTTTATTTTTCTTGACTTTTAAAGTGTAAAAACTATTTTTATTTGGTATCATCTGTGAATTCTATTTTGAGAGAGAGAGAGAGAGAGAGAGGATGAAATATAAACTCTAACCCTGGCCATAATATTAACTACTGATGTAGACAAAGGGGGGGTCAACACTAGTCCAAAATAAATCAAATTTTGGCTTCACTTGAGTCTAGTAGTTTATCATATTTGAGCTGAATTTTTATTTCATTTATTGAACTAAGGGTTAGCTCATTATGAGCTAACATTTTAGTTCATTTATTATCTTACTTTTTATTAAATGTTATTTAGTTTTTAATGTTTCTTTTTATGGTGTCTCTTGGGTTTCCAAAAAGGGCTTTTGGAATCCCAAGAAAGTTGTTTGCTTTTCTCATGGTGGCTCCTTGGTTCCACCATTGTTTTTAAGTGCTTTTTCCCTTTGGGATTCCGGCCGGTTGCTGGTCTTCCAAGCCCGGGGTGTTTCCCGTGGCCGTGGCTCCTCGGTTCCGTTCGGCCTCCTTGTTTCCCGCGGTGGCTGCTTCGGTTCTTGGATTGGGCTGATTTCTGTGAGCTTGGGGGGTGATTTCCCATGCTTTTGATACTTAGTTTTATGTGTTAAATTGATGTAATGTGTCTTTTGGTCTTCCCCTTTCATACCTATATATATGGTGGGTATTGTAATGTTTAAAAAAGTGAATGCGATATGTGATTTTTGGAAAAAAAATCTGTTAACCTGCGGGTTGCTTGGAAATTCTGCGGGCTCTTTCCACCCTTCTTTCTCATCCCCTCCGGAAATCCTGCGGGCTCTTTCCAACCTTTCTTCTCGGGCTTCTAACATCTTTCGTCTCTCCGCAAGTGTCACTCCACCTGTATCCCTCTTCTCTAAGTGCAGCAACTTTAGGGTGTCGTCATTTTGTTTGCAAGAGTCGTTTGTATTGGTGTAAGTTTTCTTTTGTTTAGTTTAAATTGAAATGTAAAAGAGTTTGTTCGTCCATTTTCTCGTCCTTAGTCGTTTTCGTCCATAGAAGTCTGTCATGTCCTTTGTGATCAAGAGATATAGGGTCCCCTATATTTTTTGCTCGCATCAACTACTAACCTTAATTTCAACACTAACCCTTACCTAACCTTAACCATATGAATTCCTTTGTCTTACAATTGGTATCTTTAAGCCAACGATATTGCATCTTACATTTTAATCCTAAGATAATTCCATTAATATAGGCGTTCTCTAGTTAACATTCTTTCCTCTTCTTTGATAGGGATCAAGGCTGCTTCTAAACATAACGGCAACTTTCTTATTTTTATTTGATATGAAATTGCAAATGTGGCCAAGCCTTCTGAGTTCTCTTTTGTTGAGAGATTTTTCTCGAGTCATCCTAGTATGAGTTCATAAGAAATTTGGATTGACCTTATGTATAATTGCTCTACTAGAAGAATGTTGAGTTTTAAGGATTCCCATTATTATTCTACTTACAAAATATTTTTTCACCGCATCTCAGAATACTTTAGGGCACAACCTGAGTTGCAAAAACCTAGCAATCATGGCAGTGGCGATCTTTCCTCTGATAAAATCCTTTTTTTTTTAATTTAATGGTGGCAATTCCGTCTACTTCTATATCTAGTTTGTACTCAAAACTTGGAATCGACATTGAATCCCATCTCAGAATCAATGCCTTCTCAGGTTGCAAGCCTTTTCCCTATGCCTACTCACATTAGTTGTGAGTTTGTCCCTGAGGTTTTCTTTCGAGGATCTTCTTTGATGATGGGTATACATGTGATCTCAACTCTCTTTCTATTGCCTCTAATGTTAGTATTTCTAGCAGGGAGGAGTTTGTGGACAAGAAGTTTCAAAATCTATATGCTCAATGAGGAAGAAATAGTATTAGCAAGAAAGTAGATCGTCACTCTCCAAAATATATTAGGTTCCAAGTTAGCCAGTCTTAGTGTGATGAGGACATCAACAGAAAAATCTGGCTCATGTACCAAAGGAGGAGCCGTAGATTGACGTTCACAATTAGGAGTCTTTATTTATAGTATATTTTCTGTATTTTAATTATCATTGTATTTTATTTTGGGTCTTTCCCAGTTTGCTTGTATGTTGAGTTATATGTGTGTTGTAGCCCAAGGAGACATTTTAGTCTTTTTAGTCCTTCATGTTTTGAGGCCTATATATGATATCCTTGGCCATTGTAAGAGCAGGATGAATATTATGAATTGAATTTCAGTTTTCCTGAATTGTGTGTGCTTGAGTCTTCTTGAGGAAGAGTGAAGTCCTAGGACTAGAGCAACAACTGGCGCCATGGAAGGGTCCTTGACTCTTATCTTCTCTCCATCCTCTCCTTATTTTCCTCTATTGACGGTCGAAATTTTCTGTTGTCCCATGCAGCCAAGCCACCTCCCCTCTCTTCTACTCCCACTCACCTACAAGCCCACCCTCTCCATCCATAGCCGTCAATCCCCACTCCATTACCTCTTGATATACCCTCCACCTTTTCCTATTCCCCTGATGAAATCTAAGTGGCTGCTGTCATTTCCCTCTCCCCCATTAATTTCTACATTAATTGTTATCCCCTTTCCCTTCCTCAATACTCCCAAACAGCTGCCACCTCTTCCCCTTCACCACTAAAGCCCTAAGGCTGCTGCCCCTTACCCTTGGCTGCTGTCATTTCCCACTCCCCCATTAATTCCTACACTAATTTCTATCCCTTTTCCCCTCCCCAATACTTCCCAATAGCTACCACCTCTTTACCCCCCACCCACTCCCTAATTAACTTCCTAGTAGTTGCTTCCCTCTCTTCTTTCCCCCATTAATTCTTCATAGTTGCTTCCCCTACTTCCATCCCCTATTAATTCTCTAGTGTTGCCAACCCTTCTCCCATTCCCTTTCCTTTTCTTTAGCCAACATCCCCTCTCCCAAACAGCCACCTCCTCTTCACTTTCAGCACACCAAGCCCGAACTCCCTTCCCCAAATCGTGGGCAACCCCGTCATTCATGGATGGTTGATCCTTAGCTTGATCACGGCTTCGTATCTGACGATCAAGGCTTAGTCGACGTTCACCGGTCTCCATTCCTTGACATCGACTTCGAGGTTGACCACACCGTCAAATAATATGCGGATCGGATTAGCTTCTCTCTTGCAACTGCCATTGATCTTCGAAAACCTCCCATCAAATGGCAACTCACCTCCGGTCCACCCACTACTTCTTTTCCTGGCAGCTTTCTGTTGCTATGGCATTGTTAATATCGTATCATGTTTTCTTCCACTGAAATTATTCTAGGAGTGTGAGTGAGGGAACTTCACTGTGATTGTTCTAATTGTTAATTGTGGGATTTGTGTGACTTGCAGATAAGTACTTATTGTTTTATTTATTATTTTATTGTTCCCCGCCAATACTTGTAATTATTTGCTATTACTTTATCAACAATTGAGAAGTCGTTTAAATCGGCCCTTGATCACCATTAATATATATAACGGCTAAGCTTGTCAATTTAGTATTATTCCTAAGTAATTCCTGAATCTAGCATTTGTTTCACATCATAGTGCGACCCCTTGGAGTTTTCTCTTCTTTTGGCCTTGTCGATTTAGTTTGTTATAGTTCTTTTCATCTAACAAGCTTTGCTATTACTTCTTATTGCAGTATTTTCACTGAAAGATAATAAATCTTGTTTTGTTTAAAAAAGAATATTTTAATTTTGACTGTGTCAATCGTTACAATCATCATCAATCTAATGCTCGTCTCCATTACATTTTTCAGGACAAAACTTGAAGCCTTCCTGTTACGTTCAATGGAGGTGGGTCTAATCTCTGATGGAGTTATTGCACAAGACTTGAATCAAGCATCATCGTTTTGGCAAATTCGTGAGGTTTATATCATTTGATTATTTTCCATTTTTCCTCCTGTTATTATTTCTTATGGCTCTTCATTTATAACATCTCAGTGTTTAGATATTTTTTAATGCTGTTAAGGCTAAATGCGAGCATATATAACATTTATATCGTAATGCATACCAAGACTCAAAAGATGATGCAGATTGCTGTATCCTGTTTAGCATCAGGTGTATGTTCCCGGAACCAGTCTGAAATGAAATATATATAATCTAGCCTTAAGAATTATAAAAAAATTATTTCCAAAATACTTGTTCTTAAGACCCTGGTCCTATTGTATCCAAGGCTTATAGGCCTACAACCAGCATCAGAATTGACCTCTTGTTACTCGTTATACTTTTGTTCTGACCTATAAGTTACCTCACTAAGGTTGGCCTAAATGCAGAAGATTGAAATTTTTTTTTCACTCGTCATTATGTCACTTGACCCATTATCCAGATGGATCAAAAGATAGCTAAAGATTCCTTAATTAAATTGCAGTACTCATTATATTACTTCATAAGCTTTATAAACGAATGTGAGATGAACATTACTGTTATTTTGAAGAAATCTGTATATAAAACAGGATTTTTCAGATCAGCATAATTGTTTTTTTGGATGACCAGCCATGAATATCTAGTATTGATCTCCATAATTCCTAAAGGCTGCTGCATTTGTCACCCAGAATAACGAAGAGTGGTGCTAAGTTATGCACTGCATATTGACATATCAGTGTATGCTACTAATCTCAGCATTTAAAGTTTCCTTTATTGCTGTGGGTTCAATTCTTACTAGATCTTAAGTTGGAATTCTTGAGCAGTCAGCTTTTTGGTATTTTCTTGGATCCTGTGTAAGTGTGTATTGGCCCATCCAGTTCACCTCAGGTTGAAGTAAATCAATTCTTTGATAACACAAACATGCTAGCACCAAGTGGCAAATTTGGAGTGGGGTACTATAAACGCATTTTCTATCCAATTTATTTCTAGATAATTGAAATCTGCAGTAAAAAATATAGACTTTTTTCCTTGAATTTGGACATCATAAGTATGGGTCTCAACTCAAGTTGATGGGTTGGGTTCAAATTTGTCATTCCTGAATTTAGTAAACCAGAACCTAGCTTATTTGTTGAATTGGTCAAAATTTTCAGTCAAAATTTTCATCATAAAACTGAATGTACTAAACTCGAACAAGGCTCTGCACAACAAGCCACACTAGTTTTGTCGGATTAGTGTAAACCCAATTGGAACATCATAGCTCAAAAAATAAAATTGCTTGTTAATTTGAGTTTTTAATTAAAAAAAAAGGAAGAATCAAATTGGTTTAATCATTATGTTCGAGTTCAGCCGAAATTTCCCCGATTACTCGAATCAGGCATGAATCTTATGCAAGTTGACCCAAAATTAAAATTGTTATTTTGAGTTTGAATTAGATTTTTGTGAAAGGTCCATTATTAACACCTATACAGATAATAAATTAAAAGGACATTGTTTTGATAGGGTCTTTCAGAAGCAACAGCAAAGGCGGGTGCTGTCTACAAATATGACTTGTCCTTGCCTGTTGATAAGCTCTATAGCATTGTCGAAGAAATGCGAGCACGCCTAGGTATTTATTGAATTATTTTTACACATGTTTCAACAATCATTGCCTGGTCTTATACGTGTCAAAATTGTGATCTGAACTTGCTTAAGAAGTTCTTTTAATTAGTTCCAGTACTTGCTGATTTCTTTAAATGACTCCAGAAGATCCGTTGTAAACTTCAGGAAACATAGCGAAGGTAATCGGTTATGGTCACCTCGGAGATGGTAACTTGCACCTTAATATCTCGACAACTCATTATGATGAGAAGGTAGATACCTTCCTGTTCTTACCGAAATTTTTATCAACATCCAACTTTCTAAGTTGTCTTGTATTGTTTTTTATTTCAGATTCTAGCTCAGATTGAACCCTTTGTCTATGAGTGGACAGCGCATCACAGAGGAAGCATTAGTGCAGAGCATGGCTTAGGCTTGATGAAAGCCGAAAAGATTCACTACAGTAAATCTGAAGAAGCTGTACTGTACTGGCATCCAATCTTATGAATTACTTCAATAAGTTATCAAAGACAAGTAGTTTTTTTCTTTTCTTTTTTGTTTTGAAGTACTTGAATAATAGGTGAAACACTGAGAGCAAAAAACATAAAACAGAAAAGAAGATTGCCATATTAAAAAATACAGGAATTTTATATAGGTTTATCTAATTGAAGGTTACATCTTGCTATCACCGATGTAAATTTTACTATTGATTGTGGATAATTATAATCCTAACTTTCAAGATACATAAGATCCCTCCTATATAAGGAGAAAACCAGAGCAGTCAAAAAATACAGTAAAATTCTTTAATGAGAAAACTTAGTCACCCCACGTTTAAATCTGTTTATCACTTTTTTTCATAAATTAAAAATTAGATTCCATGTCTCAAAAACAATTAAAATTGTTTTTCTTCTCAATGTGATGAAGTACATTAATCATTATTTTTTGTTATTCAAGTATTCAGATTTAAATTTAAAGGTTCAATGTTTATATTATAAGTTTTGAGATTCTTTGGTCAGAAGATGTTATCAGAACTACTGTCATTATAATATCTATTCATATTCTTGTTACAATTATTCTCTTCCTTAAACTCACCTTTTTTTTATTTTAATTTTGTTTTCTTTTTTAATCTACTGAAGAAATTTAGCTCTAGTTGTTTGCTCAGATTTAAATTCTAAATATTTCAGGTGAAGGTAATGGCTTCAATCAAGAAACTATTGGACCCCAAAGGCATTTTGAACCCCTACAAAGTTCTGCCACAGAGCATGTTGCAAAGCTGAGGTAAGTGGCCTCTCATGTTGCCTGTTTTCCGAATCTTAAAGTTTTTGAAGTTTCCAATTTAATTTTTCATGTGATTTGCAAAAACCTATGGTACCATGTTGATTGCTTCTTCATTAGTGGGTTTGCAAACAATCCAAGTCTGTTATTCAGTTCAGCTTATTAAGTAAGCGAGCCAAAGTTTTCTGTGTTTGGCTCGTCTGTTTGTACAGTTGATCAGCGTTGTTCTCGAACAAGAAATTATGTTTAGAACACTTTCAAACACAAACAACGGTCCTTTTGAGTTAAATCTTTGTATTTCATACTCTCATACTCTCTACAACTTGAGAAGTACTGGAATGTGAAACTCGTATTTGTTATGATGTCAGCTAAATCTTTGTATTTCATCTTTTCTAAGGTTTTTGTAGATCTCTCAATTCATACTCTGAGTGATTGTTTGAGCTTGTATAGAACTTTAAATTTGGATATATAGGGATGTCAATATTTGACACAATCCAAAAATCCGATTCGAACCCGATCTGAAAATTTTGAGTTAGGGTAAACTCCGACCCGAAACGGGTCGGTTTGGGTACAACAAATTAACCCGTTTCAAAAATCGGGTCGGGTTCGAATTGACCTAAAAATTCGAAATTGATCCGTTTTTATCTGTTTTTGACCTGAAAATTGGATATTGACTCATTTTTTTATCCAAAAACTAGCAATTTTTTGTCGGGCCCGTGTCACTCGGGTTGTGTCGGCTTGACCCGAACCCGAAGCAGGCCGGGTTCAGGTCCGAAAAATGACTCGTTTGTAAAAACGGGTCGAGTTCGGATTGACCCGAATAGTGTTGGTTCAGTTCTGAGTTTGACCCGAACTCGACCTATGATCACACCCCTAAATTGATATATGGTTAGTATTAAAATATTTATCAAAACTAGAGGGATATTCCATAAAGGCTTCTTCTAATTTACTATATAAGAATGCATTTTTTACATCAATTGTTGCAAGGTTTAATTGTGGTTGGACGTCAAAAATAGAAGTATTTATATAGTGTTTAGCTTTATGATTGGTACAAAAGTTTCTTCATAATCCACTTCATATATTTGAGTGTAGTCTTTTACAATGAGTAACTTAATATCTTTCTAGTGTCCTATTTGAATTGCATTTCGTAGTTTGTGCTCTCTTACATTTGATTAGTTTCTTTCATTTGAGCAATTCATCTACCACCAATCTTTAGTTTTCTTGCAGGGCTCTCTTTTCTTCGATCATAGTCTTTCTTCATTTAGTTTGAGTGTTTATTGGATAGTTTTTGGAAACTTAATATTCGTTTCAATAGGAAAGGCTTTATGGGATGAGGAAATATTTAAAAGTGATAGGAAGGGCGAATTATTGCGTCCGGTCACCGGATGTCCGGACATCCAATCCGGTGATGCCATATTACCCAAATACACTGGGACCCGGTGCATTTTGACGACGTGGCGACACCGGACCCAATAATTTGCCGATATGAAGTTCGCTATTGAATGTTAAGTGCGCTTTCGAGTTTTTTTCTTTTTTCAGTATAATAGGGAGATTAATATTATGATGAGTTTGAATTCTAGGGGTAAAGATCATACTTTAATGCTTGGGAGTTGGGAATGGCTTATTGAGTGTGTTTGTAGTGGTGATTTAGGCTTCGTTTGAGATGGATTTCTTACTGTTTCTTAAAATAAACTTTTAGTACAAAATTAGAATTTTTTATACTAGAAAATTATTTTAAGCAGCAGTAAAAAAGCCGCCCCAAACGAAGCCTTAGGCTTCATATTGGATGACTTTCTTACTTATTTTTAAAGCAGTTTTTTTTTTTAAATTTTGTATTAAAAAGCTATTTTAGAAAGCAGTAAGAAAGTCGTTCCAAATGAAATCTTAAATTAATAAAAAAAAAAGATTTTATTAGTTAAAGGAGTTTATTTTTATATGGAGGAAAGTCTATTGCTTGACCTTGGCCAGGTTGCGAGTAAAAATAACATTCATAATGCTTTCTCCATCGCTTACTAACTTGCATCCCTTATTATTATAAATAACATTAAATATGAAAGATATTCTTCTTCCTCCAATTCTCATTGACATTTCTAGCTACAGTCAAACATCTCATGACTGCAAGTTATAAGTCATCTATAAATTCAAGTTCTTCCTCAAATAAAGGGGTGACATCAAAAATTCATTCTAATCATCATTCTCAAAGGCATCAATCTCATATAGGGGTGTAAGTGAGTTGAGTTGGCTCGAACTCGACTCGTTAATGAGCTCACGAGTCGAGACATTGAGCCACGAGTTCAAATTCGCATATTATATGAGCTTGGCTTATAAACTTGTCGAGCCGCCCGTTTAAAATAAAATATATTTAAAATCTAGTTTTAAAAATAATATAAAATATTTTTAATTATTTTAGGAGTCAAGCTCGAGCTTTCTTAACGAGTTTGAGTAAAAGTGTCGAGTTCGAGCCTAATAATATTTGAATGAGCCGAGCAAACAAACTTAGCTCTATTAGACAAATATTTGATGCGACCCCATCGTTTACACCCCTAGTCTCATATCAGAATAGATTCTAGGACTTAGTAACAGCTCTAAAAATATGTGAAAATCTAATGGAAGCAGGAGGTCTAGCAACCTTGCCCAGCTGCCCACTTAGGCACGCGTACCGCGCGTTCACAACGTCTAGCCCGCGCGCACCCGGGTCCGCTTCCCATGTCAGGTCGGGTCCGAGTTCGGATTTCCGACTCGTTTACCTACCCCGGTCGGGTTAGGGTTGACCCATTTGAACCCGGGTCAGTTCCAGGTTCGACCCGAACCCGACCCGTGACCTGGTTTTGACACCCCTACCTAAAATTAATGACAAATGTATTGGCCAACTATCCTTCTTCTCTAGCTTTCTCTCTTGTGATGGATCCCTTCTAGCTTGATCACACTAGTGCTACACATTAGTTTTAATATGGTGGCTTCCCTCGAAGTTTACAACAAATATTTTGTTCACTTTTAATAATATTTTGTTCACATTCATTTTAATATGGTGGCTTCCCTCGAAGTTTCCGATAAATTACCAATGTAGCTAACGTAGTACCAATTCTTCCTGGTTTACTTTTAATAATAGAGAATACTTCATTTAGGTTAAAAATAGTGCTTTTATGAGTAGAAAAATATGTACTTGGACATTTTCAATATTTGGTTCATCTAACAGTTCATAAATTTTCTCATTCAACAAAAGTTTCTAGAATTGCAACCTCTTTATTTCATCTCATCTGTGTACTTTGGTAATATTTAACTCTAAGCTACATATTTTTCATTATGTTATAATATTAAATAGTTTAAAGTGTTGTCTTGTTTGGTAGTGTGAATTTTTATCTTAAGCTTCATTTGGGACGGTTGTTTTACTGTCTATTTTTATTATTATTTTTTAAAATAAAATTTTAAGATAAAAAATAAATTTTTTTACTAAAACTTCGTTTTAAAAAACAATAAAAAAAACCGTCCCAAATAAATTCTTAATCTCATAGACTAAGGCCGAATCATGCATCTTAGAACATATTTGCTTAAGGGTTTAGGAACATATAGGCTCCAACATAACTCGGCCGTTTTGATGCTACTCATTAGTTTTTTATTTATAAATTTTGTTATTTACACATTTATCCGTTCTATGCTTAAGCAAAATAATGTCTCTATCTCCAATAATAATAATAATAATAATAATAATATATAATACTTTATTGTTTTATTTTTCAAAAAATATATATCAAGCATATTACTTAATATAATAGAGACGATGTAGCAAAAAAAAAATTATTTACATTTTTTGTACAAATTCAGACATTAAATTTACAAAGTTTCAAATTCAACCAACAAATTCAAGTGAGTGATTTATTTTATTTTATTAAATATTCTTATTATTTAGATAATAATATTATGTAAATAATTATAATGCTACAAAATTTTCTTCTTTCTCTTTGATCATTTAGATTACAATAATTTGAATATCATTTAATTTAATTTCAATTTAGATTATATTAATATCTTTCTTAATATTATTTAAATTATCTTAAAATGAAAAATAATATCAAATAAAACTATTTTTATTATTAAAATATCATTATATCTAAAAAAACATTGAACAATATTTTCATCAAATTCAAAGCATCTACTTATAACAATGCTTTTAGCATTCCAACAATTTTTTATTTTTTATTTTTCATCAACATCTACCTTCTCCATTGACCTAATCAATTAAAATAACTAAAAATAATTTGTTTAAAAAAAGAGAGGAAAACATCTATGTGGACCGAGTCCATCCATATCCATACAAGAAATTACACAAGGGCAAAACTACAAAATATATATTAAGTAGGACCCTTGTGTAAAATTCGCAATCATCAGCCTATAAAAGAGCAATGCATGTACTATAATGTTCCATACTTAATTTATTTTATATTTTTGAGGAGATATTTTGAAGAGAGAGAGAGGGAGAGAGTATTTCATAGATGGCTGAGGAGGAAGGAGCAGTGATCAAATGCCATACTATTGAGGAATGGAATGAGCAAATTGAGCTGGCGCAGGAATCAAAACAACTTGTATATTACTATTCCTAACCTTTAGCTTTCTAATAGCACAACAATAACATCAAACTTTTATCTAACTACGTGAAGTCGGCTGCACGAATATTTTTTTTTATATTGTATCATATTAAGAGCTAACATAATGTATTAAAGGATTCAAGTTATGATTATTTGATAAGTTTTATACTGGTTGTCGACTACTTAACGTAACCCTCTACTTTTCTTTTCCAAGACTTAGGTAAGAAAATATCAAACCTTATCCCGCTATGTACGTGGGGTCGACGATAGAAATCCTTTTTTTGTCCATCGTGTCCTATTAAGAATAAAATTCTCATTTAAATCTAATAAAAAAATAGTTATTTTCTAAACTTTTTAAAGAAGTTTTTTTTTTTTTTTTTTTTACCTTTATCTTTCTTAATATAAGATAGATCTAATACATTTACTCTCCTAACTTAGTTATTAGAAGCTTTAATCCCACTTTCTCTACCTTTTTCTCTATTTTTAGAATAATCATAATAATAATAATTATTATTATTATTATAAATTTTCTCATGTAATTTATTGTTTTACATATTTAACCAATACTAGAATTTTTTTAAATTTTTCTTCAACTTGAAATTTCACTTCTTTTAGTCAAATAAGCTCTGGTGCATATTTGAATCTCCTTTTCTAATTCCCATGCAGGTTATTGTGGATTTTACAGCTGCATGGTGTGTCCCTTGTCGAATGATTGCTCCTATTTTTGATGAACTTGCCAAGAAATTTGTTGATGTTGTCTTTCTCAAGGTTGATGTTGATGACCTAAAGGTATGTGATGTTGCTTTGCTCCTCATTTGAGTTGGAAAGATGAGCAATATTTATGCAAATATAAAGAGCAAAAAAGAAATAAAAAATAGAAAAAGTAGTTTGGTGTGCAAAATAAATAATAATTTTATATTGAATCATTCAATTAATATGTAGGTTATGTTGTCGTCGTTGCAAATTTTACTATTGATTGTAAGATCACAATTTTAATTTCTGAGATATAGAAGACGATTGTTGTCGGTCATTTTTGTACGAAGAAGATTAATTTACATAGAGTGAAAAATATATAAAAAGAAAAATAAAAAAAGATAGAAGTTCAACGCACAAATACAAAGAAGTATTATGTATATTCGTTCAAATGATGGTTGTGTCATGTTGTTGTTACTGTAAATTTTATTATCGATTGTGGAGAATTACAATCCTGATTCCTTAATGTAGAATGCCCAATGCAGTTATTATGGCTTTTATAAAGGAGGAAAATCTACGGAATAATGATTTTAAGGTTTTGTTTGGGACATTTTTTTACTGCTTTCTAAAACAACTTTTTAGCACACAAAAATTTTGAATTAGAATTTTTTGTACAAGAAAGATGCTTTAGCAAATAAAAAAAAATTGTTCCAAATGAAGCCAAAGTCTACGTAGCATTTTTTATTTATAGGGCAAACATTAGGCTCCATAACATAACAATTTTTTTGCCTTTATCAACATTACTATTTTAGCAAGATAAAATTTGATTGTCTTACAAGTTTTAGAAAAATGGCATACCACATTAAATCTTTATCCTATACTTGCATAGTTTCATCGTATATTTTTACTTACTTTTGTGCTAATTTTGTTCAACTCATACAGACAATCGCTCAAGAATGGGAGATAACCGCAATGCCAACCTTCATCTTCCTCAAAGAAGGGACGTTGTTAGACAAGCTTGTGGGAGCTAATGAGGATGAGCTTAATGAGAAAATTGAGCTCCACATGACCTAGTAATATATATATATATATTACTATGCTCTTTTATATGTGTGCAACTTTGATGAATAAATAAGCATTGCTTGCAAGCTTGAATTTTCTTGAAAGTTTGAGGGTTTTAACTATGTTGGTAAAGTATCTTTATGATAAATGTATGAAACTATCATGTTTGTGCTTTGATTTATATTTATTAGGTCTTGCACATCCTATTTTCTAGTATATCTTCTAAAAGAGAGAACTATGTATCTTTTAAAAGACATAAATAAGAAAGAGAGAGTGTGTGATATGACATTTCTTCACTATTTACTTTCTATTCTCTTTCTTCTCTCTATTTGCCACATTTTATTTGTTCAAAAATATTTGTGATGACAAAGAGCTTCTTTCTATAGCATTGTAATTATAAAAAAGTTGTGGTCCAACTTTTTTATACAAAAAATATAAATAATATTGATAATATAGATGTATATGTACTTTTATTTATTAGTTGCATCTATTAAGATTTACAAAATTTGTATAAATAGTCAAGGCACTAATCTTTGTGGCACTTATTAGGCATATGGTAGTCTTAGCTAGGAATCTCATATGTATTATTCCTTCAGCACTTTAAATGAACTTTGGATGAGAAAAATTTCTAAATAAGGTTAAAATAACCTTCACAACCTAAGCAATATAGGAAATCACTTGCAAAATGAATTCCTAGATGTTTGTAAGTTTTTAGTTGTAATAAAAGAATGGCTACAATCAGACAATGTAATATCTCAGTGAGATCTCACATATTATTCAATGAACTTTATTTTAGTTCACAAGATAATATATGAAATTTATATACGTACAACACTTAAAGATCTTTTTTAGCTCCAAAACATACAAGTTATAGCTTTAGGCTACTTGAATGCGCCTTGTATCTTTAACTTATTATACATGGAGATCAATGCTCTACAATGCTGATCAAATAATTCAAAAGAGATCTCACTGTCAATAAAGAAGATGATAAGTCAAATCATAAAAAAATACAATAAAATATATGATAACTTGTATGAAAAATAAAAACTCATTGTTATTTTGGAATTTGCTTCCTTATTCTTCACTAAAACACCTTAAAATCAATATTTAAAAATGCAATTTTCCTTCCTTGGATGAATTTTGTTTGGTGAGTTGAATTTTATTTCTAGCATCCTATAAATCAAATGACAATAATTTTAATGTTACAACATGTTAAAGTCAATAGTTTAATAAAAGCTTATAATGAAATTATATAGAAAAAAAACTTTCATAATAATATTTTTTTATGATTTTCAAACCGTCGAAAATAATTCTAAATATTTTCATGTCATTTTTTCATGCTCTCATTATACATCATATTCTAGCTCCCCTTCGAGAATTCTACTCTAGAGGATTGATTAAATGGATTGATTAAATGGAGGGAGCCATATCATTTCTTGGTATAAAAGATAGGCTCTCCAAAGATGTAGGCCACTAAACCAAACCACTAATCAAAGATAACAAAAGCAATCAATTTCATTCTCATTCAATTTTAAAGAATAAATGTATATCTATAGGCATTATAAATCACAAGAAAAAAGAGAAGGTCACCAAATCATAAAACAATGCACAAATTACATAAAAAATTGTATTAGGAATAATTCTATCTAGCTAGCTAAATCATCATAAATTTTTCTTGCTTGGAACTTGTATCCTCATCCTTAGCTAAGCTACCATGTATGAAAAATAGAGATTGTATTGTCATTTTAGAATCATCCTTCATTATTCTTTATGAAAACTCCCAAAAATTAACCTTAGAAGCCTCTTAATATTCTTTGGATGAATTTTTCATGTGGATGTGGTTTTTTTTTTCGAGCATCATACAAATATAATGATAATAATATTAAGCCCATAATATGATAAAGCCGTTGATAATTATATAAAAATTGCTTAAAAAAATTCATGATTTTCAAGCTTTTTTATAAATTTTTTCATGATCTTATTCTACATTAGTTATCTTACTATTTAAACCAAGTCGTGCATATTTACTTATATAAACAACATTGTACTTCTAATTACTAATTTTATCTCCCTCTGTTGATTTTATCTTCCAATCATGTTACCCAAATCTTAAAGAAAGATGAGTGCTATTCATCGAGTCGAGGGATCAATGATATATAATATCACATCCATCATCTGTCATATTAATCATTTGTCATATCTATCATATATCATATCAATCATATGTATCATATTAAAATTAACCAATTATATCAGTATAAATCTCGTTTGTACATCCCTTATAATATTTCAATTCCTTATGCTTATTCTTACACACATTTTGTTTCATGTTAATCACAACAAAAATTATCATATTATAAATAATTTGTCCTCGTACTCTTATTAGTATCAATCCTATAACATGTTAGTTTATACACATTACTCTTTTTACGCATATCACATCATTCATATACACATCATATGCATATCATGTGTAATTATCATAACATGTAGATCTATACATTGTGCTTATCAATATATTATCTTTTAAAAGACATAAATAAGAAAGAGAGAGTGTGTGATATGACATTTCTTCACTATTTACTTTCTATTCTCTTTCTTCTCTCTATTTGCCACATTTTATTTGTTCAAAAATATTTGTGATGACAAAGAGCTTCTTTCTATAGCATTGTAATTATAAAAAAGTTGTGGTCCAACTTTTTTATACAAAAAATATAAATAATATTGATAATATAGATGTATATGTACTTTTATTTATTATTTGCATCTATTAAGATTAACAAAATTTGTATAAATAGTCAAGGCACTAATCTTTGAGGCACTTATTAGGCATATGGTAGTCTTAGCTAGGAATCTCATATGTATTATTCCTTAAGCACTTTAAATGAACTTTGGATGAGAAAAATTTCTAAATGAGGTTAAAATAACCTTCACAACCTAAGCAATATAGGAAAGCACTTGCAAAATGAATTCCTTGATGAATTCCTTAAAAGAATGGCTACAATCACTGGCGGATGTTCGTAAGTTTTAATGTGAAACTTCTTTAAAAATAAAAAAATGATTGATTTTTTTTTTTCACTCTTGATAAATAATCCTACTTATAAAGCTTGTTCTAATATTGCTCATTGCTACAGTAACAGTCGAAAGAGGATACTCTGCAATGGACATCATAAAAAATTGTTTACGCAATCGTATGAGAGACTTTTGGATGAATAATTATATGTTTATTTATATTGAAAAAGATATATTTAATGGTACTGATAATGAAATGATTGTACAATGATTTCAAAAAATGAAGAATTTGCAGGAGAAATTTTTGATTATATGTAAGAAGAATGTAATGATTTAACATTCTTAATTGTAAGTTTTTTTTCTTTTGTCATATACTATATCTTTATATATTGAGTCTAACAATCTAAAAAATTTTAAAAAATTTCTTATGCCGATCCCAAGCTTGAATAAAAAAGGTTTGAGTTTTTTTTTTTTAATTCAATAGTTTGTGCCCCCACATAAAAAAAGTCTTAGCTCTGCCCCTGGCTACAATCATACAATGTAATATCTCAGTGAGGTCTCACATATTATTCAATGAACTTTATTTTAGTTCACAAGATAATATATGAAATCTATATCCGTACAACACAAAGATCTTTTTTAGTTCCAAAACATACAAGTCATAGCTTTAGGCCACTTGAATGTGCCTTGTATATTCAACTTATTATACATGGAGATCAATGCTCAACATTACTAATCAAAAAATTCATAAGAGATCTCACTGATTATAAAGGAGATGATAAGCCAAACCATAAAAAACACATAAAATATATGTTAACTTGTATGAAAAATAAAATTTTATTGTTATTTTGGATATTTGCTTCCTTATTCTTCGCTAAAACACCTTAAAATCAATATTTAAAAATGCAATTTTCCTCTTAATATTCCTTGGATGAATTATGTTTGGTGAGGTGAATTTCATTTCAAGCATCCTATAAATCAATGACAATAATTTTAATGTCACAACATGTTAAAGTCAATAATTTAATAAAAGCTTATAATGTAATTATATAGAAAAAAATAACCTTCATAATAATTATGATTTTCAAAACGTCGAAAATAATTCTAAATATTTCCTTGTCATTTTTTCATGCTCTCATTATGCATCATATTCTAGCTCCCCTTCAAGAATTCTACTCGTAGAGGATTGATTAAATTGATGCAAAGAACAGAAAGCAACACTGATGCAAAAAGATCATCACAACTTCTTTTTCAATAAAAAAGAAAATTATAATCAAATCCATCATGCAAAATGTGTAATCAATATCACCAAATCAAATAGGCACACAAAGTGAATGGAGATTGAAAAGAAAATCCTACATCATATTGAAGAAAGGGTCAAGGCAAATTTGGAAGAGAATAAAGGCAAACCATCAATATGTATGCATTAAAAATACTCACCAAAATTAAAAAACAAATGCAAGCAAGGGCATCTTCTTTGCTTTGATGCCAAATAATATGGAATGTAGTGGAAGGTGGAGGGAGCCATATCATTTCTTGGTATAAAAGATAGGCTCTTCAAAGATGTAGGTCACTAAACCAAACCACCAATCAAAGAAAACAAACGCAAACAATTTTCATTCTCATTCAATTTTAAAGAGTAAATGTATATATATAGGCATTATTAATCACAAGAAAAAAGAAAAGGTCACCAAATCATAAAACAATGCACAAATTATATGAAAAATTGTATTAGGAATAATTCTATCTAGCTAGCTAAATCATCATAAATTTTTCTTGCTTGGAACTTTTATTCTCATCCTTAGCTAAGCTACCATGTATGAAAAATAGAGATTGTATTGTCATTTTGGAATCATCCTTCATTATTCTTTATGAAAACTCCCAAAAATTAACCTTAAAAGCCTCTTAATATTCTTTGGATGAATTTTTCATGTGGATGTGGTTTTTTTTCGAGCACCATACAAATATAATGATAATAACATTAAGCTCATAATATGATAAAGCCATTGATAATTATATAAAAATTGCTAGAAAAAAATTTCATGATTTTCAAGTTTTTTTATTTTTTTATTTTTTCATGATCTTATTCTACATTGGTTATCTTACTATTTAAACCAAGTCGTGTAAATTTGCTTATGTAAACCACATCTCACTTATAAATACTAATTTTATCTCCCTTTGTTGATGTTATCTTTCAATCATTTTACCTATATCTTAAAGAAAGATAAGTGCTCTTCATCGAGTCTAGGGGATCAATGATATATAGTATCACATCCATCATTTGTCATATTAATCATTTGTCATATCTATCATATATCATATCAATCATCTATCATATTTATCATGTTAAAATCAGTCAATTATATCAGTATAAATCTCGTTTATACATCCCTTATAATATTTCAATTCCTTATGCATATTCTTACACACATTTCATTTCTTGTTAATCACAACAAAAATTGTCGTATTATAAATCATTTGTCATCGTCCTCCTATTAGTATCAATCCTATAATATGTTAGTTTATACACATTACTCTTTTTACGCATATCACATCATTCATATACACATCATATGTATATCATGTGTAATTATTAGACCTGTCAATATTGGACCCGACCCGAAAACCCGATCCGAACCCGACCCGAAATTTTCGGGTTAGGGTTGACCCAAACCCGAAGCGGGTCGGGTTCGGGTCCAGAAAACCGACCCATTTGCAAAAACGGGTCGGGTTCGGGTTGACCCGAAATTTTATATATTTATATGATGTGTGAGTCACTATATATATATATATATAACCAATATTCATTCATTTATCAACCAGATCAATATAGACATCCAGAGCTGATTAATTGCATTAGAGAAAATCGATAAATTACAAAAAAAAAAAACATAAATCACATTATTATTCTTAATAATTATAATCTACAACCAGAGTTCAAAATAATATTTATAATAACCACACTAGCTACAAAAAATACATAAATTAAAATATGACATAAAACTATACTAGCATCAGTACACATCCTTAAGCTACATGCTCCTTACCAGAAATTATTTAAAATTATATAATAAGCATAAAAGCCCAGCAATTAACCAAAACTCTATCATTATTTTCAATGTAAAGCAAAAGAATCAATATATGTATGTTCAATTCTAATCACTATCAATCATCATTTAATATAAGTAAAAATAAAAAAAAATTAATAATAAAATCAAGATGTTTCGATAAAGTCACTCAATAAGTAATTCTAGCATGTTATTCTATATTGTATTAATATTAATGTTAGTATAATTTTAGTTCTATCTATCAATCATTTAATGTAAAGAAAGAAAGTACAATCAATCTTTAATGTGATTTTTTCTTTTGTACATCTGTTATCTGTCATATATATGAATATGTCAATCTCATCTTACTTTTCATTTATTTTGATTAATCATTTATTTTCACAGGTGACTTTTAATAATCAATTAAGAGTCATCACCCTCTACTCGTCGACGTAATTCGGTCAGTCGGTTACATGCTATAACTAGGATTATACTACTAACATTTTATTTAAAAGAAAACACATAGGCCCACCCCTCATGCGTAAGATATTATATTTTAAAAGTCAGCATGTATTCATTATAGTGTTAACAACCAATCTTCCTTGCTTCCAGGCAAATGCTATCTTTTTCTATGTAATGTAAGTTAATATAATGTATGAAATACCAAAAATGTATAAATACATGAAAATCTATCAAATTTGGCTACTATGTATTTACTTAAAAAATTTATAACTTCCAATTTAACCAATAAAAATTTAATATATTCCTGCCAAAATATTTAGATTAACGACATCTATCATATATAAAAAATTATGCGATAAAAGTTTTACCAATACAAAATTATCCACTTTTTTAGATAATAAAAATATAAATTTGATCAAAAAATATCCAAAATATAAAATTATTAAAATCAGAATAACAGTTCCTTATATCGAGATGAGCAACTATCCCAACAAGACCGAGATATAAAAATTGCTTCATAACCTTTAAATCCTCACTTCTATTTTCAAAATTCCTTATATCGAGATGAGCAACTATCTCAAAATTCCTTTTACGGTTCTCTGTTATGCGAATTGAAGAGATTAAAAATAGTTTTAATATATTTGTTTAGTACTTTGTGATATTTTATATTAAAATAATTATATAATTTAATTTAACGACAAATCACAACAACAATAACAACAACATCATCAAGCATTTATCCCACTACGTGGGGTCGGCTACATGAATCCTTTTTCGCCATTGTGTCATGTTAAAAGTCAAATTCTCATTTAAATCTAATAAGGAAAGATCATTTCTAATATTTTCTAACCAAGTTTTTTTAGATCTATCTCTACCTTTCTTAACATAAGTCAAATTTAATACCTCAACTTTCCTAACTGGGTTATCAGAAGGCCTAATTTGTTTAATGTGACCAAACCATCTAAGGTGACTATCTCTAATTTTTATATTCCACTGGAGTTACTCCAACCTTTTCATCTTCGTCATATATAATTTAGTTCAACCTTTAGTATAAATTTATATAAATTCTTTTGGGGCTTCAAAAATTATGAAAAAAAAATATCCATAAAATAATTCATTTTATTTTGAAAAATATTGATGAAATTGGTTTGCAAAATGGATACCTAACGATCTCAAAATTTCCACTTATACCAAATATGTGTCAATTTCTTTAAGATTTGCACCAATGCCCATAAATTACAGAAAAATTATAATAGTAAAACACATTTATATCTATCTTATGGCGAAGATGATTTTCAAATTTGGCTTAAAATGAATCCTACAACAACAATAACAACATCAAACCTTTATCCCACTATATGGGGTCGGCTATATGAATCTTTTTTCTTCATTATGTCCTGTTAAGAGTCAAATTCTCATTTAAATATAATAAAGAAATATCATTTTTAATATTTTCTAACCAAATCTTTTAGGTCTACCTCTACCTTTATTAACATAGGCCAAATCTAATACATATACTCCTCTAAAAGGGTCACTGGAAGGCCGACATTTTACATGATCAAACCATCTAAGGTGACTCTCTCTAATCTTATCTGTCACTGGAACTACTCCAACCTTTCCCCAAATATGCTCGTTTCACATCCTGTCTCTAAGAGTAAATCCACTCATCCACCTAAGCAGCAACACTTAACTTAATATTAAGCTTCTCTTTTAATGGCTAACATTTTGTGTCATAAAGCATTGCAGGTCTCACCATCATCTTATAAAATTTTCCCTTAAGCTTGTGTGGTACTTTTCTATCACACAACAAACCCGAAGCATTCCTCCACTTCAACCATCCAACTTGAATTCTACTAATAATATTTACATCTATTTCACTATCACTCTGAACAATATACCCAAGTTATCTAAAATGAGTACACATATTAATGACTTGATCGCTCAAAGTTACAAACTCCTCACTAGATCTATTACTACTAAAATTACACTCCATGTATTCGGATTTAAATCTACTCAAATGAAAAACTGTAGAATCTAAGGTTGACCTCCATAATTTGAATTTACCTTTAACTCCCGCTCTAGTCTTAACAATAAGAAGAATATCATCAGCAAAAAAACATACACCAAGATACATCCTCTTTCAAATGTGTAGTGAGAACATCCATGACTAAAGCAAAAGGATAAGGGCTTAAGGCTGAACCTTGATGCATTGACTTCAGTGCTAAATATTAATTGCTTGTTTGACTATATGCTCATTATATGATTTTTATATATTTTCATGTAAGGATAATAAATATGTGGATTGAGGTTGATATGGGCTATAAGCTTGAGTTTCCTTTCTGAATCTATTGGTTTATTTATTTATTTTGTATTCATGATGTATTATTTATAGTGATGGACTGTTGCTGGTTGCATATCATGACTATTATACATGCCATTTTGGCATTTTGGGTCAAGGTGTAAATATTTCATGAAAAGAAATGTAATTATGTTTTTTCGTTATTTCTATTTTTTTTAATACAATTTGTCATCTCTGGTCGTTGATTGAAAAAAAAAAATTGTAATTCTTACAATTTAGCTTCTAGGGCGTGACACATGGATTCCTTTGCAAGTGATTCCTCTAAGATAAATCATTGAAATCTCTAGTCATATGTTTCATATTCTATGTTCTTCTTCTATGATAATATATTTATTTTACATCATTTATAAGCACAATGTCCATAGATGAGCTAGCATATCCAACCTCTTACATCCTAGTAGTTGTACATATAATAGCAAGATATGGGCTAACATATTATTCCTTCTACACCACATCACCCTAAGTGTCCAAATGAATGATACAATCAATGAATAGGAACTTCATGTAATCCTCCTCCTCCTTTTCCTCAATGTGAATGGGTGAGTTGATCTAATACTTGCTTAGAGGTTTGCATTTTTCATGACTAAGGGTTATGACACATTTTATAGAATAAGAGATGATTTCATCTGAAATAATCTAGCAATGTATCTCTTTAAATAATAAAACAATTAAGATATTTGGCTAGTTATGAGACTTATAAAATCAAATTTCCCAAAAATTTGTCAAATTTTAATAAGGTGGTTTAGAAACATCTCACTTAAAAATATTACATCAATATATTTAATATCTAAATTTCACAATTTTACATGCTTTACAATCAAAACTTTACAAAAATAAAAAGATCTCTCGTTGCAATTCTGTCACCATACCACTTATCTGTTGCCAGCACCATTGAGATTATATCTTAACTTCCCCGTTTTCTTGTCATTCAATTAGATCCTGATCGCTACTTCTTCTACATCTTTTAAGGTTTTGCAAAATCTACTAACTTATGTTGATAAAACTTTATATTATATAAATAATAAAATTTAAATTCAAATATATAGATAAGATAATTTAAAATGCTATATTTATAATCCCCATTTTAATAATATATTTTAAAAATAATCAAATATGGTCAAAGTAAAATTTAATGATGGATTTAATAAAAAATATTTTTCTTTCTAAAGATAAAGCCGGTCTCCAAGAAAAGAAAAGCACTCGGCACTGTCCACTTCCACGCGATGATATATTCCAAATCGCCATAGAAGACAGAAGTCCGGGCTTTTCTCCGTTAAGACAACGAAATACCCCTTTCTCTCCTCCAAGCTTTGCTTCAGAGAAGCATGACCACCGTCGCTGCTCCTTCTCGCAAGGTCATCCCGACCTCTCATCTCTTTCTTCCCCCTCGATATACCCCCTCAATCTGCGGTTCTTTTCGCTTTCGTTTCATACCTATCTTAAGGAATTTGGGTTCAATCGCAGCAGGCTCTGAGCAAAATCGCCTGCAACCGGCTGCAGAAGGAGCTCGTCGAATGGCAGGTTAACCCCCCGGTCGGCTTCAAACACAATCTTACGGATAATCTACAGAGGTCGGCTGGTCTCCTGCTTTGTCTCTTTTTATGTCTTTTGATCAGAGTTTTACACTATTTCATCTTTTTTTATGATTCGAAATTTTTGGGCGTGTATTTTCTTATTTGGAAGGTGGGTCATCGAGGTCGCAGGTGCCGCCGGTACGCTTTATGCGAACGAGACCTACCAGCTTCAAGTTGATTTCCCGGAGCATTACCCCATGGAAGCGCCGCAGGTGATAAATTGATTGATATGGAGCTGTAGTTGGATTTGTCCTTTTTCCCACTGCTTCTATCGTATTGTTCTGCTTAAATGAGTTATTTATCTTATATTTCGAATTTTTCAGGTTATCTTTCTTCACCCTGCGCCCTTGCATCCACATATTTATAGCAATGGGCATATTTGTTTAGGTAATGCTTTCTGTTATTTTATGGGATTAGGTCTTTGTTAGATGTACTTGGTGAATTATATATTAAAGAATTATATATTAAATAGAGGTTCTTTGCTTCGAACAATAGCATCCTTCTCTTTATTTTTTTTAAAATATATATCCTTCTCTTTTTTTTTATTAATATATAACTTGTTTTAGTTTATCGAATTGATTCGCAAAAAATAGTTTTAACATTTTAGCCACCACTTATTAGGAATGAATGGAGAAGATTAATTAACCTGACTCCAAAGAGCTGGGTTAATGCGAGGGAAAATTTTTTAATTTAACATTATTAATAAATTAATTAGTAAGTAAAACAAAAAAAAAATTTATAACTCCTCAAAGTCGCTTGTCAAACGGGCGACTTATATCCTCAATGCAAGTCGCCTGCTTGATTGACGACTTTGTAAGTCTCCGTTTAACGGGTGACTTACATATGAATTATTAATTTTTAAAAAAGTGAAAGAAGCAACAATTAAATTTATATAACTGTTGATGAGTAATGATTTTACAACTGTATTATAAAGGATTATAAGCTTAATGTGCCTTGAACTGTTAATTATGAATGATTTTATAGCTGTACTATTGAAGATTGTAAATTTAATGTGCCTTGAACTTTGAAGTTGTAGTGAGTAGTCACACTCTATGAGGTATAAATATGTAATAAGTAGTTATAGTCTATGAGATATAAAGTTGTCTTATCAAATCAGTATGTATTATCAATTAATGTATGAAGATGTGTATTTTCATAGCATGTAAACAACAAAAATAATCCTCATTAAATATTTTTGTTCTTATAGTTCACATCATTCATATTTTCATCTCATACTATATAAATTGTTGATGCAGAGACATTTTGGATAAGTAAGATCTATTCCTTAAACATTTATATTTTTTGCAAGAGTTGTATCATCTCATATATATTACTCAATAATATATTCATCTATAATGGATAAAATTTGAAGTATTCTGACGAAGCAAATGATTCAAGAGGGAAGCAGTCTGTTGAAAGGAAGTTTGATGCTCCCTATTGATGAGAGCCTTGAAGCGAAGACAACATCTAATGAAAAATTTATATGTGTTATACATTACTAGAGAGAAGATGAGGATTGCTTATATTGACACACACATGATGAAATTATGAAAATAAAACTCGTATGCGTTACTTAGTTAGGAATATGTAAGATTATGTTGATGTACTTGTATTATCTACAAACTCTCCTATGTTACCCAGTTAGGAATATGTAAGAGTATATTATAAGGTATCACCTCTTTATGTAAAGTTTACTCTATTTTATAATTGTTATTTAATGAATGTTAGTTTGGTGTGATTTCACTAGATTTAGTCATGAGTACGAAGGTTGTTTGTTTTTTAATTGGTCGCATTCAAAATAGTCATCTACGATCATAATGGTATCAAAGTACAATAAAATATAATACATAATCCACATCTACGGAGTATAATGTCAACATCAAAATAAAACTCAAACAATCAAAATGCACATATTACATTTCACTAATGCCTCTTATGCCGATGTGGTATCGCATAAGTGTATGGAGTGAAATGTTGTGGTGTACGTAATGACCTGGTATGTAGATGGTGTTGCTTCTCAAGACTGACATTATGATGCGTGGCTGAAGGCTTGTCCAAGGATGAAGGTACTAATTCTGGTGTGAATGCGATATCAATGTCTATCGGTGTTGGTACAGTGAAGTGGCTCTAAGAGGGATAATAATTGGCGTAAGAGGACGGTCCAACATCACATGGATCTACAGCAGGAAGGGGTGGACTAAATAATATGTATTGAGTATCTGTCTCCTCAAAATATCGAGCATCATCAATGTATATCTGTTGACGTAATCTATGACACATGTTACCTACAATGTTTACGTCCACCTGCATGAGTGTATCCTCAATTCCCCCGAAGTTTGCTGCAATCTCCTCTCCATGTTCACAATAAATTTATGCTGCAGATATTCATAAGTTATGTTAAGTTTAGCAAAGAAAGAAATTTAAAATAATTTATCACTTAAATCTATCATATAACATTTTGCTGGTGATATGAGATATCATGTATTCGGAGGGTCCACTGATGCCTTCAAGATGTATAGTGTTGCCCAAGAGCGAAATCATAATAAGTATTGCTTCACTTTTTAATCATAGTCAAAGCCACATTAATGTTGATATGAACACTAGTGCACATAGTTTCAGGAGAGACACGTGATTCTGACTATGATTACAATGTGAAGGAATACTTATCCTTGTTTCACTCTTGGGCAACAGTATACATGCTGAAGGCACCAGTGAACTCTCCTACTACATACTATCCTAGATCACTAGCAGAATGACACATGGTAAGTTTAAGTGATATAAGTTATCTTAAATATCTTTCTATACTAAACTTATCATAACTTATGAATACCTATAGCGTGAATTCATTGTGAATATGGAGAAGAGATTGCAGTCATACTTCAGGGGGATTGGAGATACACCCATGTAGGTGAACATAAACATTGTAGGTGATATTTGTTATAGATTGCGGCAACAAATATACATTGAGATGCTCGATATTTTGAGGAGACAGATATTCAACATATAATATTTAGTCCACCCCTTCCTGCTATAGATTCATGTATGCTGAGTCGTCCTCTTACGCTTATTATGGTCTATCTCAAAACCACTTCACCGTACTAATATCACTAAACATTGACATCACCTTCATACCAGAGTTTATATCTTCATCATTAGACGTGCCTTCAGTCACGCATCATAATATCAGTCTTAAGAAACAGCATCATCTATATACCAGGTCACTGCGTGCACCACAACATTTCTCTCCAAGCACTTATGCGATACTGTATCGGCATAAGAGGAGCCATTACTGATATGTATTATGTAACTTTTGGTTGTTTGAGTTCTATTTTGATGTTGACATTGTACTCCGTAGACATGGATTATGTACTACATTTGATTGTACTTTGATACCATTATGAAGTTAAACATGTTCGCAGATGATTATTTTGAAGGCAACCAACTAAAAAAAAATAAACAATATTCGTACTCATGACCAAATCTAGTAAAATCACACCAAACTAACATTCATTAAACAACAATTATAAAATAGAGTAAAACCCTATATAAAGAAATTGTCTCTTATAACATAATTTTACATATTCCTAACTAGGTAACATATAAAAGTACATCGGCATAATCTTACATATTCATAACTAGGTAACGCACACGAGCTTGGAATTGTGTTTGAGTTGGACAATATTTGTAGTTGTACTCAAACTCTTGTTGAATATACTGTCAATCTCCTCCATTCAGAAATTCCTTCTTTCCTTGTGCAGCACCTCCTATCAGCGTCTTCTAGGAATCTAAAAGCCATTCATCGTATACATGACGTCATTTATGGTACATAATACAATGATCTATATCAAACATCGACCTCTTTAATTGTTCCTTCTTTGTCATGGCAGATTTCACAAATTTGACCCTTCAAAAAGTCTAGCGAAATCAAGTGCTTCTTACATTTGATAAATCTCTGCTATAAATATTTCTAGCCCACGTCTTAAAGATCATTACCAGTCTTTTATAGCTTTATTTTCATAACTTCATCATTCGTGTGCAACAATAAGCAATTTTTTTTTCCCTCAAATAATGCATAACACTCCTAAAAATTTCAGTAGATGTTTTCGCTTCAAGGCTCTCATCATTAGGGGGTGCCAAACTTTCTTTCAACCTACTATTTCCCTCCTGAATTATCTGCTTCGTTGGGATACTTCGAATCTTATGCATTACAGACGAATATTTTGTTGAGTAATATATAAGGTGACACAACTCTTCATAAAAACTTAAGTGTTAAATGAATAGATCTTACTCATACAAAATATCTCTGCATCAATAACTTATATAGCATAAGAAGAACAAATGAATGATGTAAACTGTAAGAACAAAATCATTTAATGAGATTTATTTTTGATATCTACATGATATGACAATACACACTTTTATATATTAATTGATAATATACGCTAATTTGATAAGACAACTTTATAGCTCATAGATTATGACAACTCCTTACAACTTTACACCTCATAGAGTGTGACTATTCACTACAACTTAAATGTTTAAGGCACAATAAATTTATAATCGTCTATAGTATAGCTGTAAAATTATTCATCATCAATAGTTCAAGGCACATTAAACTTTCAATCATTTATAGTACAACTGTAAACTAATTATTCATCAACAATTATATAAATTTTATTATTGTTTCTTTCACTTAAAAAAAAATAATTCATATGTAAGTCGCCCGTTAAACGGGTGAATTACAAAGTCGTCAATCAAACATGCGACTTCCATCGATGATATAAGTCTTCCATTTGACTGTGGACTTTGGCGAGTTCTATTTTTTTTAGTTGGTTTACTTACTAATTAATTTATTAATGATGTTTAGATTAAAAAGTTGCCTAATGCGAATGGTTATGATGATATCATTTTTTTTAGTTTTAATGCTATTTGTCAGAAAATTTCAAAGTTATGTGTAAATTTTATTAATGAAATTTGATGATATATATATATTCCTTTTGACATGCTCCCTCTCTCTCTCTCCCTCTCTCCTTTATCTATTTACCTGTTGGTTTTATACTATGCTTTTCTTGATAGAATGCTACTATAATTTTTATGAAGCCCGTGTCAGTGGAACTTCTAAGTTTAGGAACACTCTTCAATTTCCCATTTATTTCTTGATCTATTAATTGTAGATGTTTTAGAACAACTTAATATTCTTTGATCCCTTCCTATTTAAAGAGGGAGAAAATTTGGGTTAAGATATCATAACCCTAATTTGATAAGGATGAGTTTTCTAATAATTGGATTTATTTTGAAATGATTGCGATACATAACTAATGATGAGGAGGTGGTTCATAGTGTTTCTAAAGTGGAGATGTGGTGGAATGATTATAGTTGGTGGAAAG